AAGGCAGCAGAGATCTGTCTCCCTGGAGAAAATGACTGTTTTAAAAGGTGGACTCTGTGGCATTATACCCAGTTGAGGCCTCTCTCTTCCCCAATCCCACCTCAAAACCTCTAGGGACTCCCCAGGCCAGGCCCCAAGGCTCCCTCCCTCCCTGAAAGGCCAACGGAGGCCTGGCAAAAGGGCCCTTCCCCACACCCTTTGACTCACAGAGCAGTTAGAAGCCTCTTCTCCCCCCCCCCCAACGTTCTAACCTCTCTCTCACCGTTGGTGTCTGAAGCAGAGCCCTGCAGAGCCCATTTCAAAGGGTTTTTGGGGGAATTCAGTCATCCCTGGAGCGATTTTGTCACTTTTTCGATTTTTCTGCACATAATGGAAGCATGCTGGGTCTGTAGGAGAAGAGTCTGAGGCCCACGGAGCTTTCTTTCCCTCAATCTAAGTATCCGCACGGCGCCCTCTGTTGGCTATTAGAATATATGATGAACCAAACGGGGCAGTGATGCTCGGTATTCTTGCTGCTTGGGGGGCAACAGCAGGAGGGTTTCTGGAGTTCTGGCCTTGCTGGTGGACCTCCTGATGGCCCCTGGGTTTTGGCCACTGTGTGACACAGAATGTTGGACTGGATGGGCCATTGGCTTGATCCAACATGGCTTCTCTTATGTTCTAACTGTCCCAATTTATCTGAGACATTTCCCATCTTTCCGATAACCCTCCCTTTGCCTCTGTCCCTTCTCAAATCCTAAAAAGATGGGGCTGCCTACCTCTCCAGTGTGTCAATGCAAGGGGGAAGTATTCTTGCTAACACAGGATGGGAGACCCAGCAGAAATGCAGCCCGGGGGTGGGGGGGGGGAGTTGTGTGCTTTTTGCATGTAATGCAAAATAAAATGGAGAATGTGCTCTGTGTCCCAGGTTGGGGATTCTGCCCTGTATTCCCCAAAAAATCCTTCAGGCAACATCTGGAAATGAGTTCAATGGTGCTGGGAGATGCAAAGGGGAGTAACCCTTTTACGTCCCACTTCACAATGGCAAACAGCAGCTGCCAGGGGGGTGCCTCTGCACAGGATGTGGGTGCAGGTTCTCCCCCCCCCCCCCCCCGCTCCACTGCATGCTGCCAATGCCTACAAAATGAATTCTTTGTGGACACAGGGCTGTGCCACAATATTGGAAATAGGGTCGGGGTTAGCCTTCTCACATCATGTGATAAAATAAGAGCTGAACAAGGACTTGAAAAGTGTTAGGAGGAGTTGGGCAAAAAACTCGGGACGTGCTCCAGTGCGACACCTGCAGTCAACATCTCGTGTGTTCTGTGCGCTCCAACCTTAAGATCCAAATCCTCACAGGGGATTACTCACTTTCTCCATCACCCAGTGGGCGTCTTCAATGGCTCTCTTGATAATCTGCTGGATTCTCTCGGGATTGTCTTCATCTGCGTGAACTTTGAAACTCTGGAAAAGAGTGGTCAAAGAAAGCAACAAAATCCAGTACAACTCAGAGCTTTGCTGCCATCTTTTTTGAAAGAATGCCAGATCCAAGTGTGTTTGCCTGGACAGGCATGCATTTGCAAAAGTCCCACCCACACTGGTACCATTCATCCTCTCTCAGCCCTTCGTGGATGCCCTTATCCCTGGCATGCCATCAGAGAAATTTTCATGGTCATTTGTTTTTAAAGGAAATTGCTCTTATGCTGTAGTACAATAACATTATAACAATCTATTGCTATGATCTACTAATTACCCAGCCTTCTTTAAAAGCATGTCTGTAGCTCTTTTTGTTGCAAAGCTATAAGGGAAAAGATGCAGAATGTTTTTGCCCCGACTGCCATTTGCAGTGGCAATGAAAGCAACACAGAATCATTGCTTTGTGAAAGCAGCCTGTGGCAGAACATGCTTACTCTGGCCTGCAAGCCCCATCCTGCCCTGCCTTCCTCTGGGGGTTCCCAACTCCTGGGGAGGGGGGCTTTTCCTTTTACTCACAAGTAGCTGCTACCACCACCTGATCAATATAGGGATTTCCCACTGAGGGGATCAGGACCCTCAGCTTCCCTTCCCAGCTCAGAGGTCTCAACTCAGTGTCTCCCGCTGCCCAGCGCCTGGCTCCCAGAAGGACGGTTTAATAGTCGCTTGCCAACCCCCCCTTGGAGATCCTTTTAAAACAGTGTGTCCGAAACAGTGGGGGCCTGTGTGGTGCATGTTTACAAGCATACTTTTAGCACAACGCCAGATTGAAGCAAGGAAGATCAAAAGAAATTGATGGTATATCAATAGATATACCATCTAGGTTAATTTTTAACTGCTGCCAGTACTTTGTATTTATATTGTTTTCATGTGTGTTTAAATATTTGTGTAATTTTAATGTATTTATGTTTTTATGGAAGCTGCCCTTTGCGGGGAGGGCAGGGTATAAATCTGATAATAAATTAAATAAATAAGTAAAGGCAAATCCTCTGTCCCTCTCACTATACGTGCCCTAACCAATGCTCCCTCTAAGCTGTGGAGTCTTGTGAGCAAAAATTCTACTTTGTGAGCTACTGGCATTAAAGTTGTGAGCGAGCGATTTGGCTACTGCATAAATTAAGAACATAAGAGAAGCCAAAGTTGGATCAGGCCAATGGCCAATCTACTCCAACTCTCTGTCACACAGTGGCCGAAAATACCAGGTGCCATCAGGAGGTCCAGCAGTGGGGCCAGGACACTAGAGCCAGTTTGGTGTAGTGGTTAAGTGTGCGGACTCTAATCTGGGAGAACCGGTTTTGATTCCCCACTCCTCCACTTGCACCTGGCTGGATGACCTTGGGCAAGGCATAGTTCTGGCACAGCTGTCCTTGAAAAAGAGCAGTTTCTGTCAAGAATTCTCTCAGTCCCACCGACCTCACAGGGTGTCTGTTGTGGGGAGGGGAAGGGAAAGGAGATTGTAAGCCGCTCTGAGACACCTTTGGATAGTGAAGGGCCATGGGGTATAAATCCAATCTCCTCCTCCTCCTCCTCCCACTGATGCCCAGAGGAGAAGGAGAAGGCAAGGCTGCTGTGGTTCTCCCCGCCTTCTGCTCGGAAGAGGCTGCTTGTGGGTCAGTTAGCAGCAGCTGCTGGAGGACAGGCGAGGACAGAGGCAGCACCAACCATGGTGAGAAAGAACCGCCTCTTTGCTAGCCCAGAAGGAGAGGGTGAGTGAGTGGACAGCAGCAAACAGAGAGAAGAAGAGAGAAGAGATTGGATTTATAACCCATGGCCCTTCACTCGGAGTCTCAGAGCGGCTTACAAACTCCTTTTCCCTTCCCTTCCCCACAACAAAACACCCGGTGAGGTAGGTGGGGCTCAGAGAGCTCTTTCGAGGACTGCTCTTGAGAGAACAGCTCTGAGAGAACGTGACTGACCCACAGTCACACCAGCAGCTGCATGGGGATGCATGGGGAATCAAACCCCGTTCTCCCAGATCAGAGTCCAGACACTCAACCACGACACCAAACTGGTGTAGGCCTGCTGAGGAAGGGAAGCCCAGCTAAGATCATCCCTAGTAGGGCTCAGTGAACTTGATGGGCAGTCGATGGAAGACAGACAAACAGGCCCCCTTCCTTTTGTGGCACATGGTTGTCTTACAGAACTCACTGCCACAAGGTATGGCCATGGCCACTCACATGAATGGTTTTAAAAAGGGAGGAGTCAAATTTGTGGCTGTTACATTGGCCCTGATAAGGCAATTGTACTCTTAAGACCTAAACTGGAAGGTACCTATTGGCAATATTACTATCTCCAATATATGTAATTGCTTCTGACACACGGCCAGATACATTTGTGGCCCCATAAATTTTTTTTGGGTGTCATTCAATTCCGGGTGGGAACATTCCATTTTTGGTCCTATATCAACGGTTTCCTGCTTCACAAGTGTAACTGGGGCTTTGTTGTGTGTTGTATTCTGTACTATTTGACCCCTGAAGAAGGCTCTTGTGGGCTGAAACATGTCAGGTCATACATGGTTCTTTTTGTTCATTTGTCACTTTGATTACTTTAGGAGGCTTTATTTGGGCCCCCACAAGGTTTTTATATGTTTTTGAAATAAACACATGTACTTTTGTCTATACCTATTGAAGTTGTTAACTTTTGAATACTGTGGAAAACAGGATGCAGTACTCAGTGGACTTTAGTTCTGATCCAGCAGGGACTTTATGGCCTCTTCCTCGAAATCCTCACAC